CAGTTTATTGGTCATTGTGAAGAAAGGAGAGTTCTATTTCTTTGTGGACGAGGCAACAAAGCGCATTTTCAAGTCTAAAACAACAAACAAAGCAGGAGGGAATTACAAGGGATCCACCGTTTCTCTCTGGGATCTTCTCTACTCCAAATACATCACTGAGGAAAAGAGGCGGGAGCTTGTCCAACAATACAAGTCTGGAGCAATCACTCTTGATCGCTTTTTGGAAATACTCTTGACAATCATTCAGGATGACGTCACTGCAACTTCAACCGTCACTGGTATGGCTAAAGTCAAGAAACCCTCAGCTACCTTCAACTGATTGAGATGTGTATCAGAGATCCTAGAACAGGCATGTTTACTTCAAATGCACAAAAATCAAATTAATTCCAACTTAATGAAGAAGTACTACAGTTTACGTCCTGTTCTTTCTACTGTATACAGATTTACCAAGGACCTCTAGGATAACTATTAATGGAAATTAAACCAGTCATGGCAAATTTTAATCAGTCTTACTCATTTTACCAATTTTTGGGACTTATTCTGGAACTTAAGATGAAAACACATCAGGATCTATGTTACTTTCCAGCTTGACTTTGACTGGACTAGAAGTGAAGTTTCCTTTTTTAAATGCAGGAAAACTATTTGCCAGAAGGAAGAAGTGTCACCTTAAATCAAAGACAACTTGTCAGAGCAAGCCAAGGTTGTGTCATTAACAACTGACAACAGAAAATGTAATGTGAAAGTAATTAAATAAATCAGCACCAGTTCACACAGAACCTGTCACTTTATTCATTCAACAATTAGACGTTGGCATCAAATCTTTTTGTTTCTTAATCTGATGATAAATTCTGACAAAACAGACAAGTTTCATTATGAAGACAATAAAATGTTTTCTGTGCTTTACACTGTGAGTGGGTGAGAACTGAATAGTTTCTTGGAAAAGTCCAGCTGGAAGTAAGTTGCAACACGTCAACTGTGAAAAATAACCATTAATATGTTTTACTGTCAGTTTCTGTGGGTTTGTTTTTCCTGATTATCTTTTTTTTTCCACTTTAAACTTGTCGTGTGGGTTTGGGACTGATGCTTTTGCATGTTTTTACACTGATATAAACTGAATGTTTGGCACCRAATCACCTGTTCCTGTAATGTGGTCAAAGATTGAATTAGTCTTGAGTCAGAAGGGATTGTTTTCTGAACGTTATCTTGGAATGTTGTTTTAAAAAAAGTATCTTTGTGTTACGAGACCAATAAACTGATGGAGCATGATCTCAGTCTGATCTTTTAGAACTTTAGGAAGTTTTTCCTCTTGGTTTTAAATCATCATCAACTGAAAAAGAAATGTTTGATTAGTTTTAGTTTAATAATCCAACAGATTAACGAGACAAACTGATTTCCAACAGACTGGTTTAAGAGTAAAACCTGTTTTGGTTAATCTATACATACTTTTAGCTCTCTCTAGTGGAGACAAAGATAATATACAAAAAATGAAGTTTTATTTTTGTTTCTGAGCTGCTTTTAGACTTTTTGTTGATATAAAAAGAGGCAGCTGTAGTAAAAAAACAAAAACCTGTAAAGTGTTTGAAAAGTAGAGTTCTCCTCCCTAGATGAACAGAAACATTTAAAGACACTAAACTACTTCTCGCTCCAGTTTTTCCAGCAGCTCGTTGATTTCATCTTGGCCTCTGTAAATCTTCTTCAGTCCTCTTGGTAAATAACGGCAGGACGTCAGATTGAGATAATCCAGAGCTGTCGACGGTCCGAGCACTGACCTGCAGAAAGAATGTGCAGGTCATGAGTCTGTTACACCCAAAGCTTCAGTTCTTCTGTCAGGAACATAAAGAAATATCTTTAAGGTGCATCAGTGAATAAAAGTCTGACCCAGGAAGTGGTCTACGTGTTTACCTGAGGGCGCGTGGCGTGATCCTGGTCCCGCTCAGGTTCAGTGATCGCAGCGTTCCCGCCTCAGCCTCCTGGCTCAGGTAGCTCATGGCTAGCTCCAAGTCTTCCTCACTGAAGGGCTGGTTGGTCACGTCAAGCTGCCGCAGAGTCCCACCCCACTTCTGGGTCAGCAGGTGGAGCCCCCGCTTCGTGGACGACGACCCAAACTGGCTGCAGTACTGACCCCAGAACAGACACTCCAGTTCTGCCAGAAAAATATTTCATCTGATCAACAGTGCCGAGCTCGTAAGGACACATGGAGGAAAATTTAATAAAATTTTCTCACGGGGACACGGTAGCACAGTCAGAGCCGACGTGGAGACTCGGGAGCAGCCTCGCAGGTCCAGGACTCTCAGTTTGGTGGAAGCGAANGACAAAGATAATATACAAAAAATGAAGTTTTATTTTTGTTTCTGAGCTGCTTTTAGACTTTTTGTTGATATAAAAAGAGGCAGCTGTAGTAAAAAAACAAAAACCTGTAAAGTGTTTGAAAAGTAGAGTTCTCCTCCCTAGATGAACAGAAACATTTAAAGACACTAAACTACTTCTCGCTCCAGTTTTTCCAGCAGCTCGTTGATTTCATCTTGGCCTCTGTAAATCTTCTTCAGTCCTCTTGGTAAATAACGGCAGGACGTCAGATTGAGATAATCCAGAGCTGTCGACGGTCCGAGCACTGACCTGCAGAAAGAATGTGCAGGTCATGAGTCTGTTACACCCAAAGCTTCAGTTCTTCTGTCAGGAACATAAAGAAATATCTTTAAGGTGCATCAGTGAATAAAAGTCTGACCCAGGAAGTGGTCTACGTGTTTACCTGAGGGCGCGTGGCGTGATCCTGGTCCCGCTCAGGTTCAGTGATCGCAGCGTTCCCGCCTCAGCCTCCTGGCTCAGGTAGCTCATGGCTAGCTCCAAGTCTTCCTCACTGAAGGGCTGGTTGGTCACGTCAAGCTGCCGCAGAGTCCCACCCCACTTCTGGGTCAGCAGGTGGAGCCCCCGCTTCGTGGACGACGACCCAAACTGGCTGCAGTACTGACCCCAGAACAGACACTCCAGTTCTGCCAGAAAAATATTTCATCTGATCAACAGTGCCGAGCTCGTAAGGACACATGGAGGAAAATTTAATAAAATTTTCTCACGGGGACACGGTAGCACAGTCAGAGCCGACGTGGAGACTCGGGAGCAGCCTCGCAGGTCCAGGACTCTCAGTTTGGTGGAAGCGAACAAAACGTCTGTCAGGTCTTTGTCGGTCAGGTAGGAGTAGGACGTGGTCGCGATGCAGAGCTCCTCCAGCAGCGGGAATCCCGCCGCAGAAACGACTCCRTTACGCATCGTCTTGCTCAGGAGTCTGACGTTCATCATCCGGAAGGTCTGGAAACAAGTGGAACAGTCAAACCACAGGATTAGAAATAAACAAGCTGGAGCTGYCACCTTCAAACAAAACGGGTTTTCTTTGTACTTTCAGTTTAGGACAGGCCGTCTGGAGCTGCTGGATGCAAACAGGAAGTTCCYCGTCTTTACTGTCCAGCCTCTTGTTGACCTCTAACAGCTCCAGATCAGGACAGCACCCCCTCTGAGAAGACAAACAGTCAGTGTCAGGGCTGAGGTCAGCAGAGAYGTTAGAAACACAGGAGCAGGAAGCAGCCGTACGGAGAGAACTGCCAGCAGCTTGTCTGTCTTCAGTCCATGAGTGAACAGCAGCTCTCTGATCTGACTCCCCTGATGCTCCAGGTACTCCACCAGTCCTTCAACCTGGAACTGAGGAAAAACGTTTGAAGGTGTGGCTGCTGAGCTTCTCAMTGTGCTGTGAAGCTGCGAGCCGAACCTCAGACTGCTGCAGGTTGATGGTCTGCAGGCGGCGGCTGTGCAGGCCGAGGCTGAGGAAGGCCTTCAGCGTGGCGCCTTTACAGTACGACAGCTTGATGGAGCGAAGCTGAGGACAGGACTGGGAAACCAGCTGGACGGGAGACACACAAAATCAGGACAYGTCTACTGAGAGAACGCTGAGTCAGCACTTTTTCAACTCCTTCAAATTAATTTTCTTTAAAATCTGCAGCAGCTACTGGCTGTTCCTCTCGTCTTTCACCACCGCTAGCTTTTTGCTAACATTCTGCTACTTTTAGCTACTTAAAGCTACTATTCTGCTACTTTTAGCTACCATTCTGCTACTTTTAGCTACTTAAAGCTACCATTCTGCTACTTTTAGCTACCATTCTGCTACTTTTAGCTACTTTAAGCTACTATTCTGCTACTTTTAGCTGCCATTCTTCTAATTTTAGCTACTTTAAGCTACTATTCTGCTACTTTTTGCTGCCATTCTTCTACTTTTAGCTACTTTAAGCTACTATTCTTCTACTTTTAGCTACTTTTATCTACCATTCTGCTACTTTTAGCTACTTTAAACTACTATTCTGCTACTTTTCGCCGCCATTCTTCTACCTTTAGCTACCATTCTTCTACTTTTAGCTACTTTTATCTACCATTCTGCTACTTTTAGCTACTTTAAGCTACTATTCTGCTACTTTTAGCTGCCATTCTTCTAATTTTAGCTACTTTAAGCTACTATTCTGCTACTTTTTGCTGCCATTCTTCTACTTTTAGCTACTTTAAGCTACCATTCTGCTACTTTTATCTGCCATTCTGTTAATCTTAGCTACTGTTTTGCTTTTTTAACTTCACTGAGTTTTGCAAATTTATAATATATTATTATTTTTTATTAATCCTTCATTTTACCAGGACAGATTTAAAATCTCATTTACAAACGTGCCCTGAGCAGAACTGGCAACAAAAAACATCTGTTCACATAAAACAAACATTTTAAAGGTTTAAATTTAGCATCTATTTGCTAATTACAGATATTGTTCTGTGATTTTTAGCTTTTTCTGTCTTTGTTTAAAACTTTTCAGCAAAAAGTTTTCTCTCTCAGCATCACAATGTCATTTATCTTCCAAAGAAATAACTAAAATAAGCTTCTTCAGTCTCAGAACGTAAAGTAAAAAAGCAGATTCTGAGAGATTTTACCTCTAAGGTGAAGTCGACGTTTTTGTTCCAGTGGCAGAGAGAAAAGTCTCTGAGCTGCGAGAACCTGAAGGAAAAAGAAAGTTTATTGTTCCAGTTAAATCTGCTGCACTGTTTCTGTAAAATCTGTGAAACTGAGCAGCTGATTAAAAACTCATCAACCAAACCCTGAAACCTGACACCTGTTTTGAGCGAGCCAGGTAACCGTGTTTCTGATCCTCGCCTCGGTCTTTGGAAGCTGGCTCTTCCCCGGTTCCACCCAGCAGTGACCCACAGTCACCCTGCGCCACAGAACCGGACTGGAGGCGGCGGCGTTCCACAAACGACACACTCTGGCCATCCTGCATCAGAAAAACAGCCGTTTCATCTTCATCACCACCCTGCAGACTGAAGCTGAACACGGAGCAGAGCCTGGCTGAACGTTTTCACAACAATGTTCTGGTGTCACTGTTTCAACCCAACATCACGTGAAACGGTACCTGCAGAGGAAAGGAACCGCTCCGTCCTGAATCACCACCAGCTGAAAGATGCTGACCAGCACCTCTTCAGGTAAATCCTGTCCCCATCTGTCCTCGGATCCTGTCTGAGACGACTTCCTGTCCTCGACTTCCCTCTGCGCTGCTTTGTTTTCCACTTTAGTTTTTTCACAAACACGTTTTCTTTTCTTGACCTGACTCTTTTGCAGCTTTCCTTTAGCAGCCTTCCTCTTTTTGCTTCCTTTCTTTTTGGAGGTCCAGACTGAACCGACGTACTGTGACGAAGCGTTGGAGATGACCAGGAGCATGTCTTCTCCCTGATGGACCGTGTAGTCGGGCCGGGACAGTCGGGCCCTTTTCGGCTTCTTCGTTTTCACCCCYGACTTCCTTTTTAAAGACGTTTTYTTTGACTTTGGTCCATCTTCTCCCTGAGCTCCAGTCTCCTCTTTCCTTTCAGTCTCAGAGGCAGAAGCCTCCATCGTTGCTGCTATCTTAATCCTCTAAGATCAGCAGACGTCAGCATGACAGACGTACAGATCTAAAAACACAAACAGATCAGTTATGTGAGTAAAGCAGGTAAAAACACAACAAATATTCTTCTGAGCTCTCTCTTTATTAAAATATAACTGTTAGATGGCTGTTTCACGATCAGCTCTTTGAACAAAATAATAAATAATAGACTGGTTGATCTTTGTAATAAGGATATAAATGCATTTTTAATTACATTTATACAAAATTCCTTTTAATTCATATCAAGCTGCGCGCGCAGCCTCGATTGTTTACAAACGGAAGTAAGTGTTGTAGCCGACTAGCATCTGTAAAACCATAACTGTTTCATTCAGTCAGCCGTTTAGGTCTGTTGTAACTTAACAAAACACAAGACACAAACTTTTGCTATCCGAGTATTAATTATAAGTACTAGTATTGTTTTCTGAAAGCAAAACAAAACGTTTTCCTTTACCTTAACTAACGCTAGCTCCACTGCTAACTGTATACCCAGAATGCATTTCACTCCGCTCATGTGATTGGCTGTAGTCTGGGGGACTACCCGCCTTCTGTGCAATTGACCAATCGGTAACTGTAATGTGTTTATGTTTTGTTTGTGATTGGATGAAATCTCAACAACATCCCGCCTCCTGTGAAACTGACCAATCACTGAGCAGTTTTCCTTTTTTTTCCTCCAAACCACACGATCGAGTTGAGCTCATCCCGAGGTTAGAGCTTGTTTTTAATAATGTTTCATTAAATGTTTTTATATCTGAACCTTTATAATTGTGCAGCAGGAATGTTCAGCGTTAATCCTGTGTCACAGGAACTGAGTTAATCTTGTTTCCCGTTAGCACGGAGCTAACAGCAGCATGTTGCTAACAACAAAGCTAACCTGCTTCTGGAAACAAACTGCAACTAAACTTTTCTGTTCGTGTCCGTTTGTTTTTAAGCTCAACTGAAAGAATGGTCTGGATTGTTTTTACATTTTATATCTATAAGTGCTGCATTGGCATTAAAACACAGTTAGGGGAAGAGTTTTACTATAAAAATAATAAAATAAACACCAAAAATTGATAATTTACAGCAGAAAATGTGTGAAGCCGAATAACTGAGATTGTTAAATATTGTCCTCTGAGCAAAGCAGCATTCAGTAATATAAAATGTTTCTAACAAGAAAACCACAAACTCGCAAATATGGTTAAAGTTAGTTTGTATTARTCATAATTTGTGATATAATAAATCATTCAGTAATGCTTACATCCTTAAATATTCCAGTTAGAGTAACAT